CCCTATGACTTTGTCTGTAAGAGTACGTACAGTACTTCACATCTGAAGCTTAATGATTCTCCAGAAGAATGTGTGTTTGTAGCTTCCTAAACTTTACCTTCTTCCCAGGGAGACTAAAAGTAAGTATTTTATGAGAAATGTTCTACTTTTTGGTTTATGATAGGGTCTCATGTAGCCCAGACTGACTTACAACTCACTATACAGCCCAGTTAGGCTTTAAATTCCTAGTCCTCTTGCTTCTACCTCCAAAGCATTGAGAACACAGGCCTCTACCACCATGCCCCCCACCCACCCAGTACTGGGGATTAAACCTAGGGTCTAAGGAATGCTAAGCAAGCTCTCTACCCTCCTTGGAGCTGCATCCTCAGCTCTCCACTTTGTGAATGTTGACATGTAATTCGCAAACACTGTAAAACAATGTTTGTGAAACAACTTGTTTGTTAAACTGCTCTCCTGTTTTCTGGCATAGGAATACTGATAAGTCTAAATAAGGTACACTTCCTCTAAGTAGAAAGAATTATCTAAGTGAAGAAATTAAAAAAAAACACTCAAATATTGAATGTGCCTTAATAAAAGTCAAGATCTGTTTTCCCTGTTCAACTCTGAGACCCCTGAGCACATGAGAAATGAAATCCCAGGTAGTTTGGAGGGCTGCAAATGCAGAATTCAGGACTGGGCACATAGCTCAGTGATAATGTCCTCTATGATGTCTAGGACCTAGGTTTGATTCCCAGTACTTGGGGGAAGGATGAGATGATCAGAATAGTGTTTTACTCTTTTTAGATAGAGTCAAGCCAAGTGAGGCATCCAAAGGAGTTCATGTAAGTGTGATGTAGGAGTGTCATGTGTTTTCTCAGATTGGACTGAGATTGTCTTATTTAGGGGCAGGACTATACCACTGTGCCTGAATTTATCTTATTGAGACAACACAGAGTAACAAAATCAATTTTAGAAGCCAAGAGGGTTAAAGAAGTGAATGGTATCAGTTGATTTGAAAGGGTCTTTCAGATGAGAATGATCATGTATGCCTTTGTGAGGTTCACAAAAGAAAAGATTGTGGTTTCCACTGCAAAAAAAGAGTCACATTTCTTTTTCTTTTTCGAAACAGGGTTTCTCTATATTGCGTTGGAGGCTATCCTGGAACTCTCTCTGTAGATCAGGCTGGTCTCAAACTCACAGAGATCTGCCAGCCTCTGCCTCCGTCGTGCTGGGATTAAAGGCTTGCTCCACGAACCTTTCTTTTCTTTTCTTTTTTGACTCTTGTTTCTTTTATTGTAGACTATAATGATTTTACAGAAAGAGGGAAAAGTTGGTGAAATAGGTGGTGATCTCATCCCTCCAGATTCCACTCTAATGTTTCCAAAGGTACAGCGTGCATGGCAGAGCTGTGACCTGGGTGAGCATGTGCACAGACTCAGGAACTGTACTAGAATTCAGGAATTCTCCCCCAAACACTAGCCAGACAGAGCACTGCTGGATGAGAAACAAACCCAAGTATCTCACCTGACTCCGACTCCAGGAAGGGTAAAGTTATTCAACAGTTACTGAGCCTTTTCCAGCACTTCTTACTTGCCTTGTACACTCTGACCCACGTACACACGTTCACTACTGCCTGCTACTCTAGGGTCTGACTGGCGCTTGCAGCTAAAGGAATCACTTAGGTAACTTCAAGCAGCCCTGGATGTCTGGATGTGAACAAGCTCCATCTGCTCTGGCAATGTCTCTAGACCCTGAGGCCACAGGTCAGACACACAGAGGTTCCAAGACAGTGCCTCTGAGTTACATTTCTTGAGCACTTAGGTTTATGAAACAAAAAGCTATAGAAGCTCACTAATATTTTCGTTATAAACTCAAGGCATAGCCAAGCTTTGACATAATGTATTGCCTTTATTGTTTTCTGACCAGTTCCCATTGCAACTTCTACTTTGTCTTTTCACAGATAACTGTCCAGCCTGGGTTTTTTGTAGTTAATGCTGCTGTTTGTTTTGTAGCACAGGCTAGGCAAGAGCTCTACCACTGAGCTACACTCCCAGTCCCAAACTCCAAATTTTTATATTTGTGAATGAATATATGTTTTTCGGAAACTCCTAAGTGTAAATATTTTTTTGACTTCTGAAGTATATTTTTGGAAGCACTGGAACAATTTTATTAGAGGGAAACAAAAATATAAAACCAGCCAAAAATCTCAGGGCAGGCAAACTGTAAAAACCTCAGCAGATGCCTGGGGAACGGAGGAGAAAAGGGGAGTGAGTTGGGAAACCATGCTATTAAAGTTGACTATGGAGATCAGACAAAAGGTGGACAAACAACCACAAGACAGAGGATGGAAGCATGAACACCTAACAAGAAAAGAATGCTTTAGGGGAACCTGCATAAAACAGAGCTAGACTCCATTAATATAGGTGACAATGGTGTGACTAGAACAATATATGAGGCCACTGGCAGTGGATTCAAGATTTAACACTAATGCACAAGCTGACTTAGTGGAGCCCACTCTATTTGGAGAGATATCATGTCTAGCCTAGACACAGGTGTGAGGGTGGAGAGGTGCCTTGGTCCTGTCTCAACTAGATGATGGCACAGACTTAGCAGTCTTCCTAGGGGATGTCTTACCCTCTCTAAGGAGCAGATGGGAGGAGGGGGAGTGGAGGAGTCTGGAGGAGAGGAGGGAGGGGGAACTGGGATTGGCATATAAAAAATAAATTAATAAAAAATGCAAAAAAAAGCATGCTTTAAAAAGGCAAATAAAGGACAAGTACAATTACTGTACATAGACTTGTGACCCTACCTGGCTGTGTGGTTCATTAGACTTCCTTCCCAAGAATATTTTGACATTCCAGAAGCTTCAAACTCTAGTTAATTTTAATTATTATATTTTCTTTTATATGTAAACATATGTGAATCCAAACTGTATTGTCAAATTTCTTCAAGTCCATAATATGCTGTTAAAAGTTTTTGTTAATGGGCTTGAAGGAACCGGCTTCCCTTTTGGCAGCCATAATGGTCGAACATG